TTACCATCTATTGAATTCTGACCTCCTAGGATTAATTGTAAGCATGTGAAGTGACATGGATGCATGTCTTTCATCTTCCTTGCTTTATTTTCTACCATTTAGTGGTGGTTTGTTAAAATTATGCATACAAAAATATTATTAGCAGAATACGACTGTGATGAGCTTTTTTTCACTGGGCGTGAAATTACTAAAATGTAACAGTATTTAGCCATGTGGAAATTATAAGTGAATTTTAGAATCATCTTATATCAGATTTCAAAATTTCTGTATTGGTCTTTGTTTTCAGAGTGTTTATGAACAAAAGATTCGCTTTTATTCTTATATTTTAGAGTGATCTTATACTTTCCAGTAGCATTTTGATCCTATACCCGATGATTTTTATCTGAGAATAGATTCTGTTTTCATGTGAAGACTAGCCATTTTTCTGGGTCATTGGAGTCATTTACTCCATGCAACCTTGATTTTACCATCACATTAATTTCGAAGAGATGAGTGGTTTTACTTATTTAATAACCTTCCTATAATATCTGCTGAATTAGGTTTTCATGCTTCTGGAATTCTTTCTTCTCTAATTTTCATTTAGAAACTGAAGTTAGAATTGAAGTTATATGTGATATATTAATTATTATTATTATTATTTTCTGCTGGTTTTGGTATGAAGGCAAAAGGAATGGCCAGTGACTTTTCTGGGGCTATGGCAAACTCAATTGATGATGCAGAGAGGCCAGACAGAGTAGCAAGTCTCAGTGCTGGACGACCGTGGGTTGATCCTACTGTTAAAATGCATGTATGTGAAGTACATGTTGATTTATGTGTGTACTATTTTCCTTTTTATTCTTTCTGTAGTTTCATGATATGGTTAACGTTTGCAGAATATGCAGCGTTCTAATACAGATGCACTAAGTGAGCGTGTTCATGAGAAGAACATCGGCGCTGAATATGGAGAATATGAATATGGTTCTGATCTTCCAAGGAGTTCAAACTTAGGAATTGGAAGAATTGGTGGGAAGATTACCGAGCAAGGAAATGATAAACCTTGGTATGGTGGTGGCAGCAGTGTTGCAGAATCAATATCCAGTCAAAGAAATGGTTTTAACATCAAGCATGGACTTACAAATTACTCAGCACCTAAATCTGCAAATGCTGATCCTCGTCTGAAGACAGCACCGGCCATTGCAAGTCGAAGCAGCGGTGTGCTTTCTAGTAGCTGGAAGAATTCCGAGGAAGAGGAGTTCAAATGGGATGATATGAACTCAAGGTTAACAGATCATGGTCCCCCCGATATTTCTAGTAACTCAACAAAAGATCGCTGGACTTCTGATGATTCAGAAAAATTGGTAAGCTCCAATGGTTTTTACTGGTTGAAAATTGGACCCTGAGATTCTCTCACCCTACTGGTTCAAATGTTAATTTCTCAGTGATACCGATACAAGAACTAATGCAAGGACTGGTTTCTTTGATGCTTCATTTCATTATAGATGGCTAGCCAATTCCTATAAAAGTTTACTTGATACTTAAATAGTTATCAGGCTGATGCCTGTTGGGTGCACAAACTCTGACCGTCTCTTAAATATTAAGAATATTTTTTCTTCCAAAAGTTTTATTGATTGACATTGTCTATATGGACAGGGGTTTGGAGGCCACTTTCGTAAACCAAAAGGTGCAAATGACTTTGCAACAACAGTTGATCTGGATACGTCTGCTGATCCTACTGAACATAATGACCTATCTGCTCTTGGGCACCGGATGTCATCACCTTGGCCGTTACCGGACTCTCACGGTGTGGATGGGCTGACTCCTAGTGGCACTCCTGTGATTAGTTCAGTTCATTCAGAGCGTTATGCTTCAAGTTTAAGTGGGCTATCAACAAGTGGAGATTCTTCTGTAGCTAGGCTGGGAAGTCGAGCACAGGTAGCGTCTTCTCGTATTGGAGCCTCAAGTTTCGGGTTTGGTGCAACATCAGGGCCTGCTGTAGCTGTGGGGAAACAGAAGCAGCTTCAGTCTGTGAAAGCTGCATCACCATCTGGACAGTCACTGGTGCACCAGCATTCTCCCTCACCTACATCAACAGTACATCATCTTCATCATCATTTGCAAAGTTTAGTTGAACAAGACTATCTTGAATCCCCATCCCTTCCTCCTCCTGATTTAAAAGTATCTCAACTTTTGGGAAAGTCAGAATTAGGATTGCATAACCACTATACTGAGGACTCTGCGCCTATCCCAACTCCCAATGTCCGGCTGGGTAGCTTAGCAAAATCACGGCCACAAGATTTGCATTCTTCATCTTCATCAATTAAGAATCCCTCTTTGCCACAGTTGTCTACTTATGTAACTCCCTCAACGGCTGGCATTTCTATACCAGATCATTCAAATCTCCTTGCTGCAGAAACTTCAGGACAATCAAGCACAAGTAGTTTGTTGGCTGCTGTTATGAAGACCGGAATTCTTTCTGACAAATCAATTACTGGTAGCCTACCCAGTTTGAATCTTCAGGACATGGGACAAATTCAATCACAATCAGGTGTTCAGCCCCCCTTGCCAAGTGGACCTCCCCCTACCCAGGTTGCGCTCCCAGGGTCCAAGGTCGCATCAGCACCTTCATCAAGTCACCTTTCCCGTGAGAACTCACCAACTTCCTCAAATATTTCACTGAAGAAGGTAGGACATCCGCCACTTCCACCTAGCCAACCCCTCTCTTCTTCTCTTGAGGGTACTGCATCAGCGAATGCTTTAACTGTGGTGAATAATGCCTCAGATCCGATTTCAAACCTTCTAAGCTCTTTAGTTGCAAAGGGTTTGATATCTGCATCAAAGTCGGAGTCACCCACCCCTGTGGCATCCCAAATGCCGAATGAACTGCAAAACCAGAGCGTATCTACATCTGTCACCAGTTCCGTGTCAGTATCTCCAGTTTCAGCTTCTCCAAGTCTTCCTGTTTCATCTCGAACTGATGATGTATCTCTCGCTGAACCTGTTGCTAAAACCTCTGCTGCCTTACATCAATCCAGCAAGATAGAAACAAGAAATCCCATTGGCATCGAGTTTAAGCCAGATAAAATCCGAGAATTCCATCCGTCTGTGATCGAGGAACTTTTTGATGACCTTCCACATAAGTGCAGCATATGCGGCCTTAAGCTCAAACTTAAAGAACGGCTTGAGAGACACTTGGAGTGGCATGCGTTGAAAACTCCTGAATCCAATGGTTCAGTTAAGGCATCAAGGAGGTGGTATGCAGATTCAACCAACTGGGTTGCTGGAAAGGCAGGACCTCCTTTAGGACCTGAAGACAACATGTCAATAGATAAGCCTAGCAAGACAATGGACAATGGTGAGCCCATGGTTCCAGCCGATGAAAGTCAATGTGTATGTGTTATATGTGGTGATATTTTTGAAGATCTTTACTGTCAAGAAAGGGATGAATGGATGTTCAAAGGAGCTTCATACTTGAGCATTCCATATGGGGTTGGTGATTTGGGAACTACAGAGGAGAGTGTTGTGAAAGGTCCCATTGTTCATGCAAATTGTATAGCAGAAAATTCACTCTCTGATTTGGGGCTGGCCAGCCGTATTAAATTGGTAAGCTTTTGTTAATTAAATATATGGGAAAAATGGATGTCAAAGTCCAATGCCCAAGGTGTTGCCAGCATTTTGTTAAATGATTTGTAATTCCTGGTCTTCTGGTTTGATCTCAATTGTAGATGATAAGATGTTACCTCTTTCTCTTTGGCAGGAAAAGGATGTCTAGTGCTCCAAGCTGAAAACATCAAACCATCACCATGCATTATGAACTTCTGAGGGAAATCCAGGTTTATGTTAGTGTATTTTAGATGTGAATCTTCACTCCTAATTTTGTTGTGCCACAAAATGGTGGTGAGAGCCTTCTACTAGTTCATCTTTTTTTTCTTTTCTTTTTTCCTCTCCTTTTTGTTTAATTCATAGTTCGAGAGGAAAAGAAATACATCTATATGCCAGATAGTTTGCATCTCAATGATTTCTCTTATGTGGTTGATGTTTTGCTATATTTGCTCTGTTTTTTACTTTTGATGTTGCAAAACAAGGAAAAACACTTCTGATCCTCCGAACCGGATCCTTCCAGCTTCACAATTGGCAAGTGGTTGTGGCCCTTGTGGGATGCCTCTGTATCAATATGACATCATTGGAGTGGAGCATCTATTTTTATTTTATTTTCTTTTCTTTTCAATGTTATCTTTTCCAATAGTTGTGGTTATAGCATTGTGAGTTGAATATTTTCTACTTTCGATGTTTCTGGAAAGATAATGGATACTGTTATATATTGGCATGTTCATCTTTTCCCTCCGTTTACTTAAACCTCGTGCACCTAATGCATTTGTGAATATGTTTCATGACTTCATTGTGCAACTCTTTCCCCTCCCTTTTGTAGTTTGTTTCATAATTTTCTTGTGCACCTGAATTCTGAAGGAACTAATCGTACAGGCAAAATGACGGTCCTCATCAATCATTAATTCTTTTTCTGCGCCAGATCAATGATTGATATTTTTTTAACCGAAAAAAAAATTGATATGGTCAAACTCAAAACGAGGAAATACTGGTTAAAAACTTAAACTTATGAGAATCTATTTTCTCTGTCATTATCAAAAATTCTGTGAAGAAAATAGCTATTAGCAGTGCTTTAACCCCCTCCCTCTCTCTCTATCCTATTTCTTACACTGAACAATAATTCAATATTATTCCTTGCTTAATTAACTTCATGAATGTCAGAATTTAATATTTATTTACATTTTGTATTATTAAATGGAAATTAAAAAGAAATGGGTCCAAACGAGCTCCCAAAATTTTAATCATACAAATAGTCCAATGGCCAGGAATTTGCTCCCAAAAGAATGGGTTTTTTTGTTCGAATCATATCAAATCTTTGAGACTATCCCATAATTTTCGCATAGTATTTTGTGCCCTCCCCAGATTCCAGATGCCCCCACAGGAAGACAAAAGAAATTTATACAAATATAATAATAAAGTGAAGGAAATCAATAATTTGGTAGCCATTTATATCTGATCATACTCATACGGTACCATTATGTAGCGATTACATGTATTTTCTTATATAGTATGCTCTTTACTTGCACCCCGAAGGGAAAAAAGAGAAAAAAAAGAGAGCAGAGTTCTAGTATATATAATTTGCCTTTGGAGATGCCCATCTACGGCTTATGGTTTTGGGTATAAATATAATCCAAGTGAGCTTCTGCAATCAACCTTCTCTTCAGACACTCTTCATCTCTGTCATCACATTCTTCTGATCCCATCAGCTGCAATTAATTACCACCCAAGAAACAAATTGAAGAAGAAGATCAGAAAATAAACAAAAATTAATGAACATGGTACAGAAATCACAGAGAAAAAACTGAAAGCGAAGGAGGAAGGGGGTTATATTCTCACCTCTATAGGATCATTTGTTGCAGATAATGAAGCTTGGTTTTGTTGCAGAAGACGAGCATGTGATGAGGTGGAGAAAATAAGAAAAGCTAAGAGAGAAAACATGAGAAAGACTTGGTAGTTTTGTTTCATTGCTTCTCTTGTATTTTGGCTTTTGGTTGTGCTTTGTGTTTTGTGCTTTGTGTGTGTGTTCTGATAAAAAAGTAAGGTGGAGCAAGCAATGTATAAATAGGACGAAAGAAGTAAACAAGTGCTTCCCTTCAGTCACATGGAAGGACCCAAGCAAGCAGTTACATGCAGTACAGTTTGTGGGGTCTACCCACTTCCTTCATTTGTTTATAACAAGCGATATTAGAGGAGTTAGTTTTCTCATACACACTGTCAAGGTTCTATGGGGATTCAACATGACACGATTGTTTGCAAATGTTAAAGCCCTTTTCATTGGACTAGACCCTATTAGCGTTTATTATTATAATTTTTGTTAAGTAGATCATCACGATAAGCATATGACATTATTATTATTATTTGAAAGGAAACTTTATTGATGAAATATTATAAAACGTACAATGGATAACTAGAATAGCAAAAGCGAATCTTACTAAAAATATTCGCTCTTTTAATTATAATATATGAGTAACATGTGCCTCATAAAATTGCACACTATCCAAGCATGCAGTGGCAATCGGCCTACACAAAAGAAAATGAAAGATTATTGATATTAGCGTTTATTATTATAATTTTTGTTAAGTAGATCATCACGATAGGCATATGACATTATTATTATTATTTGAAAGGAAACTTTATTGATGAAATATTATAAAACGTACAATGGATAACTAGAATAGCAAAAGCGAATCTTACTAAAAATATTCGCTCTTTTAATTATAATATATGAGTAACATGTGCCTCATAAAATTGCACACTATCCAAGCATGCAGTGGCAATCGGCCTACACAAAAGAAAATGAAAGATTATTGAATAAAATGGTCCACAAATAAGATAGACATTAAGCTAATTAGAGGGTTGGTGATGTGATAAGTACCAAACCACAGTGTCTACGGCAGTGTGTGTGTGGATGTAGGGACTTGCATTCTTTTACTTGTTTGTCATTTTCACGGTAGTCATTGCGGTCCAACCAAGTCAATAGAAATTTGTAAACAAAACAAGAAAGATTCGAAAGTGAGAAAGAAAGAAGCCTCACGGCTCAATGCTCCGATGCTTCTTCCACTTTTTCTTCAGAGATAGAAAGTGAATAGGCATAATAGATGTACACCCACCCACACAAACATAAAGGGTCAACGAAGTCAACTTTTGGTGACAGGCTTGACATGCAATCTATGGCCTACAGCTGTTTTCCCTTTTTTGGTAATAATTGATGATAATTGATAACTTTTTTAATTCTGGAAATTTTTACTGGGCGTGTAGTTCAAGTAGTTAAAAACAATTACTTCAACACGTAACTATGATTTTTTCCGTTTTCTCATGAAACACACATAACACATTGACTTCTCAATAGGGTTTTCTCTGATCACAGTCTTCAACAGCCAAAGTATAAGCAAATTGAGGTTATATTTATATATGTGCCTAAAAAATTGGGTTTGGTCTTCTGGCTCTAATTAAGGTTTTGCCCCATAATTAGCAAAACAAGAACAGGAGCTTTGAAGTTCCAACAGTGCTTAACCCTTCATTCTCATTAATGAAATCAGGTAAAGAAGAATATAGTAAAGTGCATGTGTAAACATGAAGAACATATTCTTTAGGTCCACAGTTTTTCTTCCTTTTAGTCCATGTTTTCCTAATTCCAATGGAATATGCCAAGGGAAAAAGTTATAATCATCCCATGATTCTGTTCCCACACTACCTTTGCCCTGCTTTCTCATTGTCCTCATGGCCTTTTAAGCCTTTAGAGGGGTTTTGATCTTGTCGTGTCGTGTCTTGTCTTGTCTCGGGCATGTTTGTTTTTGTAGAATTTCATAATCGTGTCGAATACTAATAAACTTTAATTTGACTTGTTTAATTAACTGTTTCAAATGGCATGATTAATAATATCAGGGGTATATTTTTTTCTCTGTTTTTCATTCAAAGAAGTTGCAGTAGAAAAGATTTATATAGATTCACGGATTATTTGGAAGATTTTGACCACATCTTCTAGATGCTCAACAAAAACTAAGATGTCAGATCAAACCCAAAAACAAAAAAACAAAAAAACAAAATTGAAGATGCACTTTTAGTGCTGGAACTTTGTCACTTGACTTTTAATTAAAATGATCACTGTTCTGAACTTTAAATATATCAATTATTTAAGCACTGTTAACCATCTGTAAATTCTTCTATTTTGTAAAACTTCTTTTTCAAACTTACCCTTTCATCTCAATCTCGTTTTAAGTACAGTTATCAATTGAAGTAAATCACACTAAATTTGTGTCATCAAATTATATGTATGTGTGACAACATGTTTCAATATATTGTCAAAAATAAGTGCGTTTTAAAATGAGTTCAAGTTTGAATTAATGAAATACTGTCATATCATTTGGTGAATAAATTTGATAAACGTAACTATCTTATTTGTCAATAGAAACGGACTGGATCAAACCTCACTCGACAACTCTCACAACGGTGGTTACCCATTCTTTCCCCGTTGCAAACCACATTGGAGACATAATTTTTACTGCAGTAAGACATAATTCATTCGAGCTTGGTCTTAATTTAACCCTAGCTAGTCGGCCATGAACTCGAAATAGACAAACCCTTTTGACAAGTAGTATCCTACTCAGATCCACATCACTAGCTAGGCAGTTTTTCAAAAGGTTTGACGAGTAATTTCTAGTCTTTATCCCATGATATGAATATGTACCTTAGAATTGAAGACATGGTCGGTGCCCATGTGTCCTTCTCATCTCCCCTTTTTTAGATGATTATGGGAAATGTACATGCTTCCCTAGGCCTGCAAATTGACATAAAGTAAGAGAATTAAAGCACCTTATCACTTATGGGAAATTATCCATTTATATTAGAGAATTAAAGCTGTTTAATGTCATTTTCATAATCTCATAATCTGTTAGAATTATGAAGTGATAGGGTCTTCATAAGCAGAAAAACTCTCTTGTAACGGGGATAGCACTGTTTTGCTATTCCCAACCAATAATGTAATGACACGCGTAATAACTTTTCCGCGTGTCATTATCCTATTGGCTGAAGATAGCAAAAAATGGTATCCTCGTTTCATGAAAGTCTATCTCCTTCATATGGCTCTAATTAAGAGGAGATTAGATTAGACCTCCCATTGACTCAAACATAAATATGTTCTTTTCTTAGGTAAACTTTTTTGTCTCTTTTGTTTTTAAGGTCAGTGAAAGCTACAAAGCACCAATTACATTCATTGCATTTGGCACAAACTTATAATCTTTGAATTTGAGTCTCAAGTTGAAAGCAAATGTTTTTTTTTATTTTTTTATGTACACGGGAAATTATCCATTTATATTAGAGAATTAAAGCTGTTTAATGTCATTTTCATAATCTCATAATTTGTTAGAATTATGAAGTGATAGGGTCTTCACAAGCAGAAAAACTCTCTTGTAACGAGGATAGCACTGTTTTGCTATTCCCAACCAATAATGTAATGACACGCGTAATAACTTTTCCGCATGTCAATACCCTATTGGCTGAAGATAGCAAAAAATGGTATCCTCGTTTCATGAAAGTCTATCTCCTTCACATGGCTCTAATTAAGAGGAGATTAGATTAGACCTCCCATTGACTCAAACATAAATATGTTCTTTTCTTAGGTAAACTTTTTTGTCTCTTTTGTTTTTAAGGTCAGTGAAAGCTACAAAGCACCAATTACATTCATTGCATTTGGCACAAACTTATAATCTTTGAATTTGAGTCTCAAGTTGAAAGCAAATGTTTTTTTTTATTTTTTTATGTACAATCAATGCCACTGCGGAGGGGGAGCCCTGGCAAGAGGGGGCCCAAGCAATCAAAGACAACTCCAGCACAAGAGTTCCAACCCGAGCAAACAGTGAGCCTCAGCAACCTGGGCAAGCCCACAGGCAAGTTCAGCCGAGCTGCTGCATGGGCAAAATGACACAATGCTGATGTCATAATGACGTCAGCAATAATAAAAAAATTGAAAAACAACAAACAAAAATTTCATAATTTTTTTTAAAATATAAATACCTAGCCATATTCTTTACTTCTCACACCAAAAACTCTATACAAATTCATCTCCTCATATCTTATGTGAATAGTGACAGCTCTTACCTTGCCCTTGCCCATAAGGGTGGAAGTGCTCTAACTATAATGTTGCTTAAATAGAATTTCGGATGGGTATACAAAAGAAATATATTAAACATTTAATTAGGATGTAATTTTGCCTGAGAAATAGATATTTAAGATTGACTGAAATCCTTGATCTGCGTTTTTATTCCCTTTTGTCAATTTATATTTCTCGGCTTTTCGTCTCTTGTCAACAAGGTTGAGATGGCCGAGTTGGTCTAAGGCGCCAGATTAAGGTTCTGGTCCGAAAGGGCGTGGGTTCAAATCCCACTCTCAACATTTCCTTTTGTAATTTTTTATCATTTACATCTATCTATGTTTTGGGCCAATGCATTTGAGATATTTAATTTAATTGAAACGGCCCAGCCCAGTACGTTTTTCCCTGTCAGAACGGCCCAGTACATTAAAAATATATAAAGCAAAAAGAGATTTTCATATCTCATAAAGATAGAGCTCTAAGTCTTTGGCCAATTGGTTTCATTTTTGAGCTGATATTTATCGGAAATTTATTATTGTTTGCAAACCCGATTGGTATCGTATCTATTTGGTGGCGGCTAAGCATCCATGCTTTTGACTGAGCAGGTAAGTTTGATAAGGATTTGCTTTTGTTTATGGACCATATTAAAGGAGGCTTTTAGCGTCGTATATAATCGGCTTTCATGCTCCATTATTTTCTAGAGAATCAAATTGGTGCTTCAAAATGGTGACACCATCTTCCTTTCTTATAAAATGTCATTTAATGAATTAGGTTTAACTTCACCAACCAAGAATTTTAACTTCACAACCAAAAAAGAAACTCACACACACCAATTAACCATCAAGAATTTTAACTTGACACCATCTTCTTATCGCCGGTTAACCGTAATTGGTAATTCAGCACCGGTGCCAAAAATCTCTCTACCCAAGATTACGGTTCGTTATGCGATTTTAAGGGAAATCCGAACCAACCCAAACCAAGTGCACCCCTAATATAAACTTATATAAGCATAAGAATCCGTAAGCTTCTTTGAAACAATAAAATAATGATCGAGTCCGAGCGAGACACAGCATTGAA